ATCCGGCCTTCCCTATGGAGAAAGGAGGAGTTTCTGTGGTTCGAACACGGACAGGGAAAATCCTAAGCCGTGTACCGCAGGCTTGGGTGAAGGAGGGCACACAAGGGGCCCCTAACGTGCACCACGAGGAGGAGGGTCTTGGAACTCCAGGACGGCGGCGGGGGATTGGTCTGGGAAGAGCTGGGGAGGGCTGGGGGTCCCTGGCCCCGTGCCGGGAGCTGAGTCAGAGTCCCCAGAGCAAAGACAGAACCCCACGCACGCAGTGTGGGGGATGGGGTAGGGGCGTTCGGTCCCCCGCGTGAAACTGAGGCGGGGACCAGGAGCCCTGCCTCTCTGGCCGCTGATGTTTGTCAGTGTCCTGGGCGGCTGGAGCTTAGCACCGCAGCTTGCGTGGCCAACGCAGCGGGAACCTCCGCTCTCGCATTCTGGAGGCCAGAGTCCGAAGTCAAGGGTCTGCAGAGCCCTGCTCCCTCCGGGGGACCGGGGGAGGATGCTCCCTCCTCATCTAGCCTCTGAGGATCGCTCTCAACCCTGGGTGTCCCTTGGCTAGGAGCTGTCCCTTGTCTCTGTGTCCGTTGCCGCATGGCCTCGTCCCTGTGTGTCCGTGTCTCCTTCAAGGACACCGTCCATCATTGTGTATCAGGGCCCGCTTGACTCCAGGACGACTTAGTCACCACCTCAAATTTCCTGTTTGCAAAGAAGGTCACCTTCCCGGGTACTGGAGGGTCAGGCCTGAGACCATGGTACAGAGGACCTGACGCAGGGCGGGGCAGTGTTCTCACTGGCAGGTGCCTGCTGGCGCAGAGCACGTGTGTCCTGCTAGATCCTCACCATGGGTGTGGCCGCCCCGGGGCCCCTGCCCCACCCCGCCGAGACCAGGCACGCCCAGTGAGTCGGCTGTCCGGGAATTCCCGGCTCATCCTCTCGGCCTCCCCTGTTAGGTTTTCCAGCTTCTGTTCTAGTTTGTCTCAGTTCAAGTTCATAAATGGTTTGTAAGGAAGTTAGCATCGCGGATCCTGACCTCCTCGATAACCAGCCCCTGGCCTTCCTGCAGTCCCCCGTGGTACCGTTGGGGTGTGTCCTCCCCAGCTCTCGGTCCCCTTGCTGTCTGTTACACGTGTGTTCCACAGACACCGTCATATATATTTAACTGTTGACAAGCTTTTCTCTTTTTGTCAGGCCTGTGTCTTTTGTAATAGCTTTATTTAGATCGACCTGCGTACCTTACGGTTCGCCCATTTCGGGTGTGCAGTTCGGGGATGTATAGTCTATGCACAGAGTTGGGCGATCCCCGTGTCTGATTCTGGAACATTTCATCATCCCCTGAGAAACCTGTGATCCCTTACCTCCCAGCCCTGTTCTCCAGCCCCTGGCAAAAACGAATCTGCTTCCGTCCGTGCAGGGGCCTGGTGTGGGCGTGTCACACGTGTGGACTCACACACCGTGGGGCCTTCTGTGTCTGGTCCCCTCCCTGCATGTCGTGGGCTCGGGGTCCGTCCACGCAGCGCCTGTCGGGGCTACGGTTCTTTTTGAGGCTGACTAGCAATCCGCTGTGTGGACAGAGCACCCCGTTCATCCGCTGACAGACCTTGGGGTGACTGCGAGTCACGCTGCCGTGGACGTTTGTGAACAAGTGTGTGCGGATGTGTGTTTCCGTTTCTCTCGGGCCGAGAGCCGGACTGGGATCCCTGGGTCCCGTGTTAACCACGTTTGACCATTCAAGGAACTGCCAGACTGTCTTCCACGGCGGCGGCCCCGTTGTCCGTGTCCACCAGTGGTGCCCGGGGGGTTCCATCTCTCCCCGTCCTCCCCGACCCCTGCTCCTGCCTTTCCGACGCTAGTCGTCCTAGCGGGGGGGGGGGGTGTTGGGTCTGTATCTCCCTGATGACTTGCAACCTTGGGCGTCTTTCCGTGTGCTGCTCAGTCCTCTGGGTATCACCCTGGCAGGAGTGTCTTTCCTGGAGCGAGCGCTTTCTTAGGAAGGGACTTGGGGTCTACGGAAGTGGCCAGCAGATGGCACGTGGGGTCCCCCGGGCCTTCCCACAGCTCCCCTTCGGGCAGGCTCTCGGCCCAGCTTCTTCGTTCCTGTGAGGATTCTTGTCTGAAGTCCTTTCTGGGGAGAGGGTGCTATTTGTGTTCAAGGTTTAGTTGTGAATTAACGATTGACTCGGAGGATGTGGCAGAGACGGGACAGAGGCCCCCCCGTACCCATCACCAGCTGCCCCTGCTGGCTTCTCTCGCAGTGGTGACCGCAGCCCCCGCGTTGATACAGACCAGGCCCGCCATGAAGGGTTAACACCACGATGCACTGGTGTGTGGGGGCTGGGCTCGCCGCGGAGTGCGGTTCTCTCCCCGTCCTGGCTGGAGGCCCGAGATTGAGGTATCGACAGGGCTGATTTCATTCCGAAGTCTCTCTCCTTGGCGTCAGACAGCCGTCTTCTCCCCTGCCCTGTGTGTGTCTGTCTGTGTCCCAAGCCTCTCTTCTTCTTCTTTTTTTAAAAAGGTGTCATTTATTCGTTTTGACAGGGAGAGAGGGAGCACGAGTAGGGGGAGCTGCAGAAGGAGGGGGGAAGCAGGCTCCCCGCTGAGCCAGGAGCCCGGTGCAGGGCTTGATCCCAGGACCCAGGATCATGACCTGAGCCGAAGGCAGAAGCTTGACCCACTGAGCCACCCAGGCACCCCCCAGTCCACTCTTCTTATAAAGATACCAGTTTTATGGGACCAGGGCCCATTCCTAAAGACCTCATTTTGACTTAATTACCTCTTTAAAAGCCATATCTTGAAATACAGTCACCCTCTGAGGGCCTGGGGTTGGGACTCAAAGGTATGAATTTGGAGGGGACGCCGTGTAGCCCCGAACGACAGACACGTGTATACAGACGTGCGTTGGAGACGTTGCGTGTTTGGTTCTGGACCACCCACAACAGAGCGAGTCACGTGCGTTGTTTGGTTTCCCAGCGCATATACGACTTATGTTTACGCTGTCCTGGAGTCCCTCCGTTAGGTGTGCAGTCACGTGATGTGCAAAAATACCACGGACGTGCCCCAAGTTAAAAATGCCTTACTGCCGGTAAACGCAGGCCGGCATCCGAGCTGTCCGTGAGTCATCATCACTGACCGCAGATCGCCGTAAGGACTGCAGTAATGAGCTGGGAGACCGCCCCCGAGGCATGGGGACAGGAAGCGAACAGCTGCTGTGCGGAGAACGGGCCCCGGGCTTGCTGGGCGCGGGGTTGTCCCAGACCTCCGATGCCCAGCCTGAGGAGGAATCCCACGTTAGATGTTCTTGCCCCACACGATTAAAAAAAGTCAACCACCCAAGAGATGGACACTGCTTCTGCTCTGTGAACTAGGGCACAGACTCTCCCCGATTTCCCCAGATGTCCCACCACCGTCTTCCTCGTGGCCCGGGGACCCCATCCAGGGCCCCGCAGGACCTTTGGTGACCTCGCCTTGTCTTCTCAGGCTCCTCCAGTCTGCGGCCGTTTCTCACATTTTCCTTGTCTTTCGTGACCTCGATGCTTTGGATGAGCATGGCCCGGTGTTTGCAGGCGGTCCCGTGGGTTGAGTTCATCCGTGTATTCTCGTGATGACCCTGGGGTCGCGGTTTGTGGGGACGGGGATACCTGATGTCCACGCCGCGTCGCTGGTGACTCCAGCCTTGATCGCCCGGCTCCGTGGGGGAGGGGGCTGGGGTTCTGACCGGTTTCTCGGGTAGTGAGGTTACCCTGTCTTCTTTTTTTTTTTTTTTAAAGATTTTATTTATTTATTTGACAGACAGAGATCACAAGCAGGCAGAGAGGCAGGCAGAGAGAGAGGGAGAAGCAGGCTCCCCACTGAGCAGAGAGCCCGATGCAGGGCTCGATCCCAGGACCCTGGAATCATGACCTGAGCCGAAGGCAGAGGCTTTAACCCGCTGAGCCACCCAGGCGCCCCTACCCTGTCTTCCTTGATCACAGTGTTTGCTAGAAGCAAATCACTGAGTCGACCCACACCGATGGCGGGGTTTGGAGGGAGGCGAGGCTCTGCCTCCTGGAGGACCAGCATGGACGGGTTCACACGTGTGTTAAACCAGGTGCTCAGAGGCATGACCAACGTCCCGCCTCTCCTTGGAGTCTCCCCAGTAACGGAGTGTGTGCAGAGTGTGACGGGTCTTGTCTGCAGGGAGGGCTACTGGGGTGTTCCTGGGGTGATTTTATGCTAATGGGGGACAGGTGGTTTTTTTGAAGTTTTCATCCAGGAATCCAGATCAGGCCCCTCCCAAGTGTCCAGTAAATGGCCCCCATTCCTTCCTCATGAGTCTGCATGAGAATTTCAACCTTACGCGTGTGTGACGTCACCCAGAGTGGGCAGGCCGCTCACCTGTGGTGGGTGGGCACACAGTGGGGACCGCTTCAGGATGTTGTCACTGGGGGCCAGCGCTGGGCACTCAGCACGCTGGAAATAGCCTGTTCAGTCCCCATGGCAGGGGGCAGGGGCCTCCGGGTGGAACTGGGCTCTGTCCCTGACGCAACGTGGACAAGTGGGGGTTTGTGGCAAGGGAGCAGGAGGGGTCAGCGGGTGCGCAGTCGCCAAGAGGACACATCGGGGCGGGGGGCTCTGGCCAAACCGAAGTGATGGGGCTGGTGCTGCAGACAGGCTGGGTGACCCCCCCACCTGGCTGGGGTTTGGAGAGACTGGCCAGCGCTCCATGGCAATCGGACACAGGCAGGGGCTCTTGCTAAAACTGGGTGACGCAGAACCAAACTCAGAAGCCCAGATGCCATAGCCTGGCTGAAAGGAGGGCTCAGAGTGACCCAGCTTTGGTTGGGCCATATATATAGCAATAGATGTCAGGGAGAGAGTCAGGGAGCCCGACGGGCTGCGGGAAGGCTGACACGAATCTGAGACGTGGCCGGGGCCCGGGCCCCTGTGGGCGTCAGAACTGAGCCAACCAGAGTTCGAGCCTGGGTGGTCCCGCCGGGTTGAATGGTGTCCCCTGCAGAGCTCCTGTCCCCCAGAACCTTAGGATGTGAGCTTATTTGGAAATAGGATCTTTGCAGATGTTGTTAGTGAGGGTGAGATCATACTGGAGTAGGCGGGCCTAATCCAAGGACTTGGTGTCCTTATAAGAAGAGACACAGAACCGAGAGACAGCCGCGTGACCACAGGGGCAGAGACTGCGGGGACGTGGCCACAAGCCCAGGGCCAGCTGGCGTGCCCAGAACCTGGAGTAGGCAGGAAGGACCCTCTTCGGGAGCTGTTGGAGGGGCACAGCCCTGAGACCTTGATCCAACTTGTGGTGGTAAGCCTTACAGTGTGTGGTCTTCTCTTTCAGTAGCCCCAGGACACAGACTGCTTTGCAATGGAATGGAATGGGTGCATTTCATAACCTTCCAAGACCTTTGGTCTCCCTGTCCAAGCCTGGGCTAAGAAGCCGTGAAGGCCCATGGTCTCTGTCCTGGCTTCCGTTGACCACACTCTGTGCTGGGGGGACACCTGCAGAGATCCCCGGGTCCAGGATTTGGGGGCTGGGGACAGATCTGGGCCTGGGCCTCACATTTTCTTCTCCTCCCACAGCTCTGCAGGCTCTGGAAGCTGCTTTCCCAGGAGAAGAGGATGGCTACTGGGTACCTGTCCCCCAGACCCCAGGTGAGTGGGGACTTCCTCCGGCCCTGACGATGTCCTTGGGGTCCAGGGGAAGCGCTCCTACTAGATCTGCATGTCTTGCTACGTGGGAAGCGAGGGAGCACTGCCCGTGAGCCTCTGGGTCCCTCCGCTTCGTGGCAGGGGTCAAGGTCCCTTCCTTTTTAAGGCTGGATCAGTCTTTTAGAGCCTGGGGACAGCTGCATTTGATGGGAAGCCGACTTCTAGGCTACGAGCATCAGGAGAGAGAGAGATGGGGAATGGAGGCCACCATCGGCTGGGACAGCACATTTGTGGGGAGCGGTAGGCAGGGTCCCTGTCCCGTAAGTCACAGCTTTGGGAACGTGATCAGTGTCTGCATCAGATATACAGAGCGGACTGGCCACTCGGGTTCAGGTGGTCCCTCGGAGAACAAGCCCTTTCCTGTGGACGTTTGTGAGTGACCCTGATGTCCAGTCAGTATCTGTGATGTTGTCCAGTTGGGGCCCCCGGGGAGAAGCCCTCAGTCTGCTCTGGCCCCCCACATCGAAGTCCTGGTCATCACAGGCACACCTGCTTTCAAGCCAGCCTTGCTGCCCTTGAGGCGGACAGAGTCCCTGGGGACACTGTGAGGTTTCAGCTTGGAGCCGGTGCCGGCCCCAGGATCTGTGAGGTCAGGGCCGCAGACAGCCAGCAGCTTGTCCCTTGGTAGCAGCAAAGCGGAGATGCCCCAGGGCCGGACAGTGGCCCTTCTTGTCTTGTCTCCACGTGCACGTGAACGGAGCCGCTCAGACCTGGGTGGTCAGGCTGGGGGGTCCTGGTCTGTCCAGGCCACGCGGGATCAGTAGCTCAGACCTGCGTCTTTAAAACCCCAATGGTACTTCTCCAGCTGGGATCGCCTCTCTTTCCACATTGCTCTCCCATAGATAAAAGTCATAAAAATCACGAGTCACGGAGACTTGTTTTCAGTATTTAAAGAGCTTCCATTTTAACCTCACCAGGCAGCAAAAAGCAAAGAATCTGTGTCCCACGGAGACCTTTTCCCGTCTTCCCTGCCTGAGGTGATCCATTGTGGAATTACAATAATATAATTATATATATTTTTATTTATCATAACTTAAAATAAATAAGTAATATTTATTTATTATAAATATATTTAATAGGGGCACCTGGGTGGCTCAGTGGGTTAAACCTCTGCCTTCAGCTTGGGTCATGATCTCAGGGTCCTGGGATCGAGCCCCGCATCGGGCTCTCTGTTCCTCGGGGAGCCTGCTTCCTCCCTCTCTGCCTGCCTCTCTGCCTACTTGTGATCTCTGTCAAATAAATGAATAAAATCTTTAAAAAAACAAATATATTTAAAAACTAGGAAGTGATATTTCACACTCATTTTTAATTGTACACCCGTACGTATTAGCCACAAAGTTCGAAGCCATTAAAACAGTTTCCCGGGTGCCTGGGTGGCTCAGTGGGTTAAAGCCTCTGCCTTTGGCTCAGGTCATGGTCTCAGGGTCTGGGATCGAGCCTCGCATCGGGAAGCCTGCTTCCTCCTCTCTCTCTGCCTGCCTCTCTGTCTACTTGTGAACTCTGTCTGTCAAATAAATAAATAAAATCTTTAAAAAAAAAAACCCGTTTCCCTTTTTATTTAATCGCAGATTGACTCAAAGCCTTGCACTGAGTTCAGCAGGTGCAGGCTTAACCTGAGAGCCGCCTGGGAAGAGGACAGTGGGAATGTTGGGGGGTGCCCTGGGGAGGTTGCAGCAGCAGCTGCTGGCCTGGAAAAGGCCTGTTTTTTCCTACTTGACCTAAAATTTTTGAAAAAGATTTTATTTATTTGAGAGAGCAGAGTGCACGCAGAGCAGGAGCAGAGGAAGAGGGAGACGATCTCCAGCAGACTCCTCTCAGAGCGGGGAAGCCCAGTGTGGTACTCGATCCCGGGTTTTGATCCCACGACCTGGGGTTTGTGACCTGAGCGGACATCAAGAGCTGGACACTTGACCCACTGAACCTCCCGGGAGCCCCCACTTTATCTAACTTTTGTGGTCCTGTGTCCTGACTTCCTTCTTCTGGGTGGAAGAAACAGAAACATTTAACACTAGGGTACCCAGGTGGCTCAGTCCATCAAGTGTCCAGCTCGTGCCTTCCGCTCAGGTCATGATCCCAGGGTCGTGGGATCAAGGGTGGAGCCTGGTGTGGGGTCTCCCTGCTCAGCGGGGAGCCTGCTTCCCTTCTTCCTGCTGCTCCCCCTGCCTGTGGTATCTCTCTCTGTCTCTGACAAATAAATAAAAAATCTTAAAAACAAGAACAACCGATGGGCCACAGGTTCCAGTCCTGCCTGTGCACTGACGGAGTCTGACTCTGGGCTGCCGCCCGCTCCAGGTGGGCTACCTCCCTCTGCGCGGTGGCTGCGCACGCGGTGGAGGGGCCGTTCTTGAGCGGAACTGCTGTGCTGTTTCAGGAGTCGCTGTCCTGGGAGGATGTGGCCGTAGACTTCTCCCGCGAGGAGTGGGCGATGCTGGGTTCTGCGCAGAGACGGCTCTACAGAGAGGTGATGCTGGACACCTGCGCCCACTTGGCTGCCCTGGGTGAGACCGCAGCGCGAGTTCTCCCTCGGCTTTGTGCACGCTCGCTCCGTGTCCGGGCTGTGTGGGGAGTGGGTTGGGAAGCAGGGTTTGTGGGGTGCACACGGCGGCGGTGGCTCCTGTGCCTGGGGAGCTCATGGTGCACCGGTCTCTTCCACACACAGAATGGCTGCATTTCTCTGGTGTAGGACCGTCCGCGCTGCTGAGACGCACCGGGCCCCTTAGGCAGAGATAATGTCCCGAGTCCTCTTGGCTACAGTCATCATTAAAAAATTTCTTTGTGAGGGGCGCCTGGGTGGCTCAGTGGGTTAAGCCGCTGCCTTCGGCTCGGGTCATGATCTCAGGGTCCTGGGATCGAGCCCCGCGTCGGGCTCTCTGCTCGGTGGGGAGCCTGCTTCCTCCTCTCTCTCTGCCTGCCTCTCTGCCTGCTTGTGATCTCTCTCTGTCAAATAAATAAATAAAATCTTAAAAAAAAATTTCTTTGTGGTAAAATTACGTAGAACGTAAGATCTGCCTTCTTAGTCCGTTTCAGGTGTACAGTTCAGCGGCAGTAATTATACTCCGGATGTTGTATAACCGTCAGCCCCCTTTCCAGAACCTTTTCCTCACCTCAGCGAGAAGCCCCATACTCACTAGGCAGTGACCGCCCACCCCTACCCCAGCCCCCCGCTCCCACCCTCTCCTCTCTGTGTGGACGGGACTCCTCTGGGGACCTTTTGGGAGTGGGGACCTGCGGGATGTGTCCTCCTGGGTCTGGCTCCTCTCACTTGAGCCCTGTGTCCTCGGGGTCCCTCCACATCGTGGCAGGGGTCAGGGTCCCTTCCTGAGGCTGAACTGTGTTCCCACGTGGGGACGGACCATGTTTTATTTATCTGCTTGTCCACAGATGGACACTTGGGTTGTTTTGACTTTTTGGCCACCGTGAACGTGGGTGGGCAAATAGCTCTTCAGCTCCCTGCGTTCAGCTCCCTGGGGTCCATACCCAGGAGCGGAATTTCTGGGTCAGGTGTTGATTCTATGTTTACTTCCTCGAGGACCCTCCAGCTGTTTTCCACAGCACCGTCCAGCAGGCCAAGTGCAGGGATTCCGATTTCTCCACATGCTTTCTGACACTTACTTTCTGCTTTTGCTTTTTATTTTTTATTTTATTTTTTTTAAGATTTTATTTATTTATTTATTTGACAGGCAGAGATCACAAGTAGGCAGAGAGGCAGGCAGAGAGAGAGGAGGAAACAGGCTCCCTGCTGAGCAGAGAGCCCGATGTGGGGCTGGATCCCAGGACTCCGGCATCATGACCTGAGCTGAAGGCAGAGGCTTTAACCCACTGAGTCGCCCAGGCTCCCTGGTTTTGCTTTTTAAAATAATCGTACCATCCCTCTAGGTGCGAAGTGGTGTCTTCCTGTGGTTTTGATTTGCATTTCCCTCATGGCTGAGGATGTCGAACATCTTTTCATGCGCTTGCTGGCCGCTTGTAGATCTTTCTCAGGGAAATGTAACAGCCACAGGTTTTTAATTAGGAAAATAAGATCTCCAGTTGGGTCAACATGTCACCTCTCCAGCGTACTCTTGTCTCTCGCAGGAGCGTTGAAGAACCAGAGTTCCGATATAGGCGTTGACGATGGCGACGGCGCACTTTCCCCAACACAAGCCTCTCAGGCCACCAGTCCTTCCCCAGGGGTGGGGTGTCCACTCTTTCTACCAGTGGTGCCTTTCCACTGGGAACCAGGAGAAGCCGTGTGGATGGGGGCACGAGGAACTCCCCAAACCTCCTGTTCAGGTAAGAGCCAGGCGGGTATGTGCCATTGACTGGGGGTGACATCTTGGGGACTGTCGGAGATCTCCCCACAGAGGCCTGGACTCTGTCAGGAGAAGATTGAGGTCTTTGCTTGCACTTTCTCAGAGGCCTTCGGTTCATCTCCAGCAACCTTGCCCTGTGCACTAGCTTCTGCCTCCCGCTGTGGGTGCGGAGAGGAGACAGCCCAGTTCTGTTGTGAAGCTCTACCACCTGTGTTTCTCGTTACGCCTCTTCCCTCTCTGCTTTCTTGAGGATTCTTTCCCTCTGCCGGTCCCCTTCTCCCTCCTTTGGAGAGCCATTCCTTCTATATGTACATTTTTCTCCCGTTTTTCATCCTTGTCCTGCTTCTTACCCTGCTTTCTGTCCTTAGGATCTTCTCTTGTTTTCCCCGTTGAGTGCTGATATTTGAACATGAATTCACATGTGCCTTGCATATGTTGGAAGTACGTTTGTCCCACTGTTATTAAGCCAGACTTTCCTCCCCATCCCCGCCTCAATTTATTTCAGATTTGGAGACTAGTCTGAAAAGCCAAGAGTCGGTTTATAAGAAGGTGGTTTTGGAGGAAGAACCAGCCAGTGGCATGGATGCCAGAAAGCTCCCCAGAGAAGACTGGGAATGTGGTCAACTTGAGAAGAACCACGAAGACTCCCGCAGGCTTCTGAGGCAAATGGCGTACGCCCAGGCGGAGGCATTTGCTCCAAAGGAGGCCACTGCCTGGCACGCGTTTGGGGAAACCTGTAGCACGAACTCAGACCGTGCTTTGTCACAAGGAGGTTTTAGAGGAGGACATTTCCATGACTGTGATCTTGATATTGAGAGTCTGGTAGCTGATCCGTTCTTAAAACACCGTCGGGTCGGGTATTCAGACCAGAGGCCGTGTGAAGGGAAGGAATACGGAAAAGACATCAGCCCGGACAGTCCCCTTGCTCAGCACGAAAGGACGGGAACTTGTGTGTACCCAGAAAGCGGGGAGTCATTTAATCATAGTATTACGACCCACAACGCGGCGGGGAAACCCTATGAATGCTACCACTGCGGGAAAATGTTTAATCGGAGGCATTCCCTGAGTGAGCATCAGAGAATACATACTGGGGAGAGACCCTATGAGTGTCAGGAATGTGGGAGAGCCTTTACGCACAGCTCAACCCTCACGCGGCACCTGAGAACTCATACTGGAGAGAAGCCCTACGCGTGCAGTGACTGTGGGAAAGCCTTCAACAGGGTTTCGTCTCTTACCCAGCACCAGAGGATTCACACAGGGGAGAGGCCTTACAAATGCAAGGACTGCGGAAAATCCTTCTGCCAGAGTTCTTACCTGACCTTGCACAAGAGAACGCATACTGGGGAGAAGCCCTACGAGTGCAACGAGTGTGGAAAGGCCTTCAGTGATCGCTCCTCGCTCAACCAACACGAGCGAACTCACACCGGGGAGAACCCCTATGAATGTAATCAGTGCGGGAGAACCTTCAGCCAGAGGTCTTCCCTCGTTAGGCACCAGAGAACTCACACTGGAGAGAAACCGTACAGCTGTCCTGAGTGTGGGAAAGCCTTCAGCCAGAGCTCCTCCCTCATCACCCACCAGAAAACTCACACTAGTCAGAAAACCTACAAAATAATTGACTGCAGGAAAGCTTTCTATCAGAGCAGCCACCTTCTTGGATTTTAGAGAACGCTTGCTGCTCTGTGAAGTGACTCGTAGCCGTCCACTACGGAAGGGGGTTGGGTTTTGCCCGTCTGATGTTCTCCTTGGAAAGAAGTAGGCGTAGGCCACGTTCTTGAGGAGAAGCAGGGAGGTCTAGATCTGAGAAGGGACCTTCTACTGGGGAAAATTAACACTGAGCCGCGCCCGGTGCCTGACGTTTTGGAGACTGACGCACGGGAACGCTAACAGGCAGTGCGGTTTGGCTGCGGATCGTCGCATTGATTCATTCGTTGAAACTAAAGACGCTCTGTTTCAGCCTTTTGTTTGAAAATTCAGTATTTTTGTTTCAGTGGTCTGTTTCAGTATTTTACGTTGTCATCCTGCCCCTGTTGGCCCCGCAGCTCGGTCCTCCCTTGTTTCGTGCCCTGCTACGGCAAAGCAGAATGTGTGCTAACACAGAAAGAGCTTCAGGTGTGAAGTGGAAACTGAAGAGTGCAGAATGGTGTGTGCGATTCTGTCCAGGGAAGTCAAGATGTGTGTGCGAGGGCACAGAGGCCGGACAGGGATGCGGAGGAATGAGCAGAATTTGTCTGTTAGAATTACCCGATCGTGTGTGATTTTTCTACCTTCTGCCCTTTCGTTTGGTAGTGCTGCAACGGGCTTGACAGTCAGTAGAAATCAGACAACCCCAAGGGATATCAAGTTTCTTGGACCCGTCAGGGAGGACCGCGGCCGTCATGAGGGGATGGATGCAGTGCAGTAGGTCCTGGGACAGGGGAAGTGGAAGCAGCCTGGGGTGGCCTGGGAGCGGTCCCCGCCATGAGGCGGACCTGCCAGAGTGGAGACCACGAGCTCTGGTGTGCGTCAGTGTCAACGTTCACTGGTCGCTTGCTTGCTCTGTTTCCAGCCTCACTCTAGCGCTTACACGTGGTTCCTTGTTTAATCTGAGCAAGGCCGTGAGATGGGAGCTGTTCACGTCCCTACGTGACAGAAGGGGAAACAGAAATAAGGTAACTTGTCCAAAGTCAGACGACTAGAACATGGCAGAGCCAGGATCTGAACTTGAACAACCTGGGCAAGGTGTGTGCCACATTTGGGCGCAGGGGCGCGGGCTATGTTTTCTAAATTCTACCCTGGGAGCCCCCTGACTTCCATCTGAATCTTCCCTCTCTGGGGAGCTGGTGAGGATGGTCGGGTTCCAGCTAAGTGAAACCCCATCACAGTGGCGTTATCGCCTTTCTCCACAGTGGAGATTCCTCATCTGGAATCCGTGTAGAGCCTGCTGGGCCGATGGGTGTTTCTTGAAGGGATCTGTGGATGGTCTTGAGCGAGACACGGAACGTGTGCTGGGGCACAGTGTGTCATCTGGGTCAGCGTCTCACTTCAGTCCCATTCTGAGGACTGGCCGGTGGGGTGTCCTGAGTGCACTGTTTTTCAGTCTTGATCCCTCGTTGCCTCCAACAATTACTTGTAGAGAACCTGAACTCCTTGTGCCAGGTGGCTGTGCGTAAGAAAGACCTCTGCCCTCCCTGCACATATGCCCCCGTAGGGTGGAAGCAGGGTGGCCTCGTGGGTTGTGACATATGCAGTTTCCAAGTGTGTCTCTCAGAAAGGTTCTGCAGTTGGATACTCTGCTGTATCCGTCTTGATAGTCTTGATAACTTTGAACAAAGGATCCCCTCCCCTGCTATGTTTTTATTTTGCAGTGAGCCTGGCTCACTGTGTAGCCAGGCCCGGGATGGAGCAAGGGGCCAGGATGCGCATGAAACAGCTAACTACACACTCTTCTTAAATCATTACGGATTTTGGTAGTGCTCTGGGGGACTTAGGATGCTGCTGTGATAGAGGATACAAGAGGGACCAACCCCAGGGCCTTCTGAGAACCTGACACTTGGTTGGAGATGTGAGTCTGGAGCATCCAAGGGCAGTAATTTAACCAGAGGCAAGCTGAAGTTTAGCTTTGTTTTCATGTATTTAACAATATACGTATTTACAAGGTTGTCTGGCCGGCTCGGTCAGTAGAGCGTGCAACTCTTGATCTCAGAGTCGTGAGTTCAAGCCCCACGTTGGGCATGGAGCCTACTTAAAAATATATTTACAATGTTTGTTTTGATTTCTCGGACTCAAAAGTATTTTGAGAGAGAGTATATGTTTTTTTAAACTTTTGGGTGTTTCAATACCCTTCTCCATCTTCTTAAAAACAAATTCTTTTTCTTGTCTGATTGCACTGGCTCAGTGCTTTAGTACAGGGCTGAACAGGAGTTTTGAGAACAGACCTCCTTGCTTTGTTGCAGATCGTAGGGAAAAGCGTCCCGTCTTTCACCCTGGAGTGCAGTGTTTTCTGTGGGCTTCCTGTAGATTTCACCGTCTTTATTCAGTTTCTGCTTTCATCGTGCTGTGGTCTGAGAAAAGTGGTGGGATTTAGTACAGTTTAGCAGTAGATACACAAGTGTTCAGAAAGTTACTCACTGCATGTTCTGTGGAAATGTTGCAGGACAGTTTCAAACCCCTCCTCTTCTCCCGGGGTTGGGATTCTCATTAACACACGCTCTCGGGAGGACTGCAGAAAACCAGGCCTCCTAACATTTCACAGAAGGATGCTTACGTGGGCCGAACTTCTCGCCAGAATATCATCTGTCTACAAAGTGCTACATTTCAAACCCCAAGACGAAGTCCTCTGAAAACCTGCCGGGTCACTCCACACTGGGCGGGTTGTAGGAGCAGAGTCAGGTTGAAGGAGCACCTGGAAAGTTCAGCACTGTCTCAGGAAAAATGAGGTTGGCAAGCGGTGTTCTTGGTGTCGTGACCAGAGCCGTTTTCCTCTGGTTCGGACCCACAGTGTGAGCTTCCTGCCACGGCTCTAACAAATCACACATTCAGTGACTTAAAACAGCCGATTTCTTTAAAAGTTCTGGAGGTCAGAGGCCCAAAACCAAAGTGCTGGTGAGGCTATGTTCTTTTCCGAGAGCCTAATGGAGAATGTGTTCCCTTATCTTTTCTGGTCTCTGGAAGCCACTCAAATTCCTTGCCCCCACCATCCCCCTCCGTCCTCCCTGCCAGGAGCGCGGCGTCTGCCCATCTCTGAGGACCTCCGCCCTCTGCCTCCCTCTTGTGAGGCCCTTGTGAGGACCTTGGGACCCCGGGGAACCCAGGGTCATCCTCACCTTGGAGCGTTAATCACTTCACAAAGTCCCTTTTGCTATAGGAGGTGACGTATTCTGGTCCCCGTGATTAGGGTGTGTGCGCGGTTAGAATGCCTTCATGCCGCCCGCCACACCTTTCCCACTTTGCTTTATAATGTGGGGTTGAAGTGGGGTGGAAATCCTGCGAACCGGGTCTGCTGTGTAGACTCCCCTGACAGTAGAACCTGCTCACCAAAGAGGCTGCCCGAGGGAGACGGGGTCTTGCCCCTTCCTGTCCCTGTCACTGCTGGCAGCTTTGAGACCTCCATCTGTGAATCACAGCCTACCTTGACACACTTCTTTCCCTGGGGGTTACTATAGTTTTTTCCTTTTTCTCTGGTTGCAGTGAACGTTTTGCAAGAATTCACAGACAAGCTTCATTTTTCACCTTAATAAATGAAATGACATGTCCTTTATTATTTTTTTAAAAAGATTTTATTTTTTTAAAAAGGTTTTATTTATTTATTTGACAGAGATCACAGCAGGAAGAGAGGCAGAGAGAGGAAGGGAAGCAGGCTCCCTGCTGAGCAGAGAGCCCTATGCGGGCTGGATCCCAGGACCCTGAGATCCTGACCTGAGCCAGGGCAGAGGCTCAGCTGACTGAGCCCCCGCACGCCCGCACGTCCTCCGTGAGGGCTGCTTACGGGACGTTTATCTGAACACAGGGCAGGCCAGGGAGCTGGAGGTCCAATCCCCCACCCAGTCCTAGGGCAGACTTCTGAATCTAGTGGTTTATGGAAGCTTAGGATTCGTTATTAATCCATATTAAGCAAAAAAGTATATCATCATTATTTTCAATAGTTTATTAAATTTATTCCATAAATCTTTTTAAAAACATTGTTCGTGAAGGAAGAGGCGACGCCGGAATCTGGACGTGGCGCGAGCGGCCGGAGCGCCTTGGCTGTCCGGTCCCACCCGTTAAGGGTATTAAGGGTTTTCAGGTCTGTCCCAGGGCGTCCCACAAACTACTCCACCGTTTCTCAGTGAAAACAGGAATTCCGTTGCCTTCGGGACACCGGGCACTTCATACTGCAAAGCCCCCGGGGGACGCATCAGATCCCGCTCCGGCCCACAGAGCGCGCCCCGGCGGACTTCAGGGCTGCTCCGCCCCAACCCTTCCGGGCCAGGGGCCTGGGACCGGGTTTGCGACCTCCAGCGGGGGGTCGGGCAGGGGCGGGGCCTCCGGGGCAAAGGTCGCCGCAGCCCCCGCGCTCCCCGGCCTCCCACGCGGTGACGTCACTGTGGCGGGTCTTTATTCTTAAAGAGCGCGGGGCCACGGTGACCTCGACCCCAGGCCTTCTGGTCCCGTCCGTTCTCGTCCCAGCTCCGACGAGGGGCGCTCCGCGGGGACACTGAGTCGGTACCGCCCGGCCCAGCAGAAGGACGCGGGCCGAGTGCCGAGGGGCGGGGAGACGCCGGACCCGCCGCGCCGGGAGCGGGTTCCGCGGGGAGCGCTCGTCCGGAGCGGGCGGGTCAGCCGTGTGTGTCCGGGCTGCGTGTCACTCAGGCGCAGAGGCGTGGTCTTGGAGAACTGTCCAATCAGGGTGACAGGGGCGGTTCTCGGAGAACAATCCGGGGCTCCAGGGTGGTGCCCGGAGAGCTAGCCAATCAAGGGCTTGGGTCCGGAGCCCTGCCCAATTAGGGGCCCCAGAGGCGGTCTCGGAAAACTATCCAGTCAGAGGCCCGGGGAGAGGGAGGTCCCCGAGCACCGTCCTATCAGGCGCGGGGGCGGGCGCGCTGGCGGCCGCGTGGACGTGGCTCTGGGCCGGCCAGGGCGCTCCAGAGCACCTGCCTCGCGCGGCCCCAGGTGTCCCGGGCGCGCCGCTCTCACCTGCCCGGCCCGTGGGGAGGACGCCCGGAAGCTCGGATCCGGGCCGGAGATGGTGAGTGAGCTCGGCCCGGGCCGAGACCGGGAGGGTCTGGCTCCAACCGGCCAGAACCGGCTTCCTGCGGCCGCGGGCCCGGGGGTCCCCCCTCCCGGGGTCCCGACCCCAGCCTCCGCCCTCGGCTGGGGCCTCGGGGACTCAGTCCCGGGCCGGCTCCTCCGCGAGGACAGCCTCGGGGCGTGGGGGGCGGGCGAGGAGCGCGCGAGGAGCGCGCGGAGACCTGCAGGGGCCCTGGGCTCGGGGGACCCCCTCGCAGGCCCTCGGCCCCAGGGGACCTCGGTTCTCGCTCCCGGAACCAGAGTCCGGCTGGACGCTGCGCCCAGGGCCCTGGCGGCCTCCTGCACGGCCCGCGCGGGGGGTGGGCGGCGCTCTTTGTCCGGGGGGCACTTCGGGGACGCCGGGGCGAGACGCCGAGGACGGGAGACCCCGCGGACGGGAGACCCCGCGGACGCGCGTCCGGCTGCGCCCCCTCGAGAAGCTCACTGAGCGCGGGCTCGGGGATGCGGAGCCGGCCCGCGCGTCTAGCGAACGGAGCGCGCGGCGAAGGTGGCTGTTCCCGGCGGCGAGGATTTCCGAGAACTGAGGAAAGGTCTTTAATGCCGTGTGTGAGACGTTTTCACAGCGTCCCCGCGCGGAGCGAGTTTCCGGGGTCAGTCCCCGAGTAGCGGCGCCTGCGGCCCGGGGCCCACCCGGGAAAGCCCCCTGGGGATGAGGACGACGCAGAGAGCGCGCGTCCCTCCCGACGAGGCCGCGGGCGAGTGGACCCTTGCCCCGAGCGCGCTGGGTCGGTCCTGGGTGGTCAGAGCCGGGGGGGCGGGGCGGGGGTGGCCGTCGATGGCCGAGTGGCCAGTGTGTTCTCCGCCGCGACGTGGGGACTCGTGACGTCGGGCAGCCCGGTCCGCTCTCCTCGGCGACACCCGGCTTCAGGCGTCGCTGCACTGGCTGGTGGCCGTGGGGGAGTTTTCTGGAAGACCGCAGGTCCGGCTTGGGGGTTGCTGTCTTAGTAACAGTCAGCGCCCCCCCCCCCCAAGAATGTGTGCCTTCTCTGCGTTTGTTTCCTTGTGCGCGTTACTCGCAGTGTTTTCAGATTTTTCCTTTTGGTTCTTCCGTAGCCTTCATTTTACTTATATAATACTAATGGAGTTTGGTTTGTACCGTGGAACGTGTTAGCTTCTTAAAAATGGTTTCCCAACTTACTGTTGCTGTTAATTAGGTCAGGAAGGGGGATCTGGGTGGCTCCGTCGGTGAAGCGTCTGCCTTTGGCTTGCGCTCCCAGGGTCCTGCGGTCAGAGCCTGCTTCTCCCTCTCCCTCTGCCTCTCCCCCGGCTTGTGCGCTCTCAGTCAAATAAATAAATAATTTATTTATTGAAAAATTTTTTAATTTATGTAGAATAAATTTAAATAAAAATTTATCTTAAAAGATTCAGTAATAAAATTGGGTTTATCCTAAAGTTTTATCCTGAATTCTTGCTAAAGATCTACTCTGTGACATCATCCTGTATGTACAGTTTTCAGAATTAGGCACAAAGGCAGGTGTTTCTGGTACTGTGCCTTTGTTATTTCCTGCTGGTGCTGATCGGATCTCTAGGATAATGTCGTCTAACACTGAGGTGCTGGGCAAACCTGATTTCTCCCAAATTGTTTTCGGGGAAACCGTGAGCTTCATACCATTTATACAGTGTTTGTTCCGTTTCCTTGGTTTTCCTTTATCAGTTATGTGTGTTAACTACCGTTGTTTCCCAATGGTAAGATTTTTTGTGTATGTGTTGAATTTTATGAAACATGTTTTTGGCAACTCTTAGGATGATTACAGGTTAATCATATAAATTGATTTCAGTGTTTTCTATTTTATAATAAAGTGTCAGCACAGGAACATGCTTATGACCTCGGTACGGTTGACACTTGCAAAGCAATCATCCGTGAGGTGAAGTCCGACCCTGGATGCAGACCTTTCACACAAGAAACCCCACTTGAGGGCGCCTGGGTGGCTCAGTGGGTTAAGCCGCTGCCTTCAGCTCAGGTCATGATCTCAGGGTCCTGGGATCGAGTCCCGCATCGGGCTCTCTGCTCAGCAGGGAGCCTGCTTCCCTCTCTCTCTCTCTCTCTCTGCCTGCCTCTCCATCTACTTGTGATCTCTCTCTGTCAAATAAATAAATAAAAAAAAAATCTTTAAAAAAAAAAAAAAAAAGAAACCCCACTTGACGTGATGCCCAGGGCAGGGCCCATCCCTCTCGGGAGGTAGCCGGCTTGTGGAGTCCGGAGGGGCTGATCTGCGTGTTTGTAGTTCTGCCTGTGCACTTCCCTGCACGCGGGTGTGTTGTACGCGGGTGTGTTGTTACATGGGTGCACTCACGTGTTTTTCTGAGCACTTAGGCACCCATTTGCATGCGACCTACACGGCTGCTTTGTGCTCTTTTACTCGGCCCTGTGGTTGGTCACTTGTCAGCAACAACACAGACGGATAAATGCACAAACACACACGTAGGTATATACAGACCCCCCGGTGCCCTCACTGGGGCACATTTTCCATAGTACTTATGTTTGATTTCCTTATTTATTTTCCTCCAAGAGAATTTAAATCCACAGGGTTCAGAACCTTTGTTGTGTTCAGTGCCGGTACGGGGACCTGTGTGACTGCAGCCTGAATGCGTTTTGGTCCACGAAAGAGCTAGAAGTCAGACGCACGGCTTTGCTGGGAGCAGGAGTGCGAGGGAGTAAGTGGCCAAGGGCTCTCCACAGTGCCCTGCAGACATCCGCGTCTCTTTTTACCACCGCGGGGGACGCCATCACAATAGCAAAAGCACCGTAAGGTGTGGGTCCAAGTGCGGGTGTTCGAGGACTGTGTTGTGCGTTCCCTCTGCTCTGATCCGGTATGCATATCTGCTTTGCAGAATCCCTAAGCACACATAAACTAATGTGCACAAAGCTTGTTTGCAAAGTCTTGCATATTTTGGATTCTCAGTGCGCATTTTTAATACAGATTTAGCTTATTTATTTGGCAGACAGCACAAGCAGGCAGAGCAGCAGGTGGAGGGAGACGGGGAAGCACGTTCCCCGCTGAGCAGGGAGCCCGGTGCGGGGCTCGATCCCAGGACCCTGGGATCATGACCTGAGCCGAAGGCAGACGCTTATGACTGAGCCACCCAGGCGCCCCCTCAATGCACATTTAAAAAATTAATATTGTGATCAAGTATTTGATGGTTTCGAGCTGGGTGTGTTGGGCGTCCCTGTCTCCTCCATCTGTGGGGGTTGCTAGAACAAAAATGCTGCAGATTTGGTGTCTGGTGAGGCCCTTCTTCCTGGTTCATGGACAGCGGTCTCCTCACAGTGCCTTCATGTGGCGGCCGGAGCGAGGGCGCCCTCATGAGGGCACTCGTCCCATTCATGAGGGCTGCAACCTTGTGACCTGATCCCCTCCCAGAGGCCCCACCTCCCAGTCCGGTCACATTGAAGTTAGCATTTAACATGAATTTTGGGGGGCACAGAAACATTCAGTCTCAAGCAGTTGAATGAACAGTTCGACAGTCTTGAACACCTTTCAGTTCAGAGGTGCGTGAGGAGGACTCTCGGGACCCAGCACGGAGTTGTGTTCACGGCTCTGATTATGACAGCGCAAGGGTGCAGAGCATAGTCAGCAGACAAGAAATGTCCTGAGGAGACCAGGGCAGAGCTCCAAGGGTCCCCTCCGGTGGCATCATGCGAGCTATGCTGAGTACTCCCGGCAGCCGGGCATGACGGCACATGGGCAGTATTCTATGAGGGAAGCTAATGAGAGACTCAGTTAGCAGGTCTTCTAATGGGGGCTGGTCCTGGAAAGCCCCTCTGCCTAGCACGGACCAGGATTCCAGACTCCCAGAAGGAAAGCTGGTCTTCAGCACAAGACATGGTTTGCAGAAAAAGACACAAGGGGCCTCACCTAGCAGCGTGGCCCCTCCCCAAAAGCACGTCCCTGTGAACCAGCCAAGGGCCAACCTTGGAAGCGGGACGTCATAAGGATAAGGACCCTCAGGCCTGTTCAGGTGTCACTTCTGAACAGCCCTGTGCCTTTGGCCCTTGGACAAGACCTTACAGCAACATCATCACCCGTAGTGCCCTTTGTAGCTGGGTGAGACCAAGCTAGGTATTGATTTTGGTTGTACCGTTAAGGGGGTCCTGGACTTGCCCCATTCAGTAAATCCCATTAACCAGAAAGGTAAAGGTCTTAGAATGTTAGGGGGCCTTGTCACAGTTTCTGTATTTCATTGGTGTCCATTCCCATAGGGCACAGCTCTGGCTGGAGGTTGCAGCTGACCCGAGCGTCTCCCAGGGGTAAGATGGTGTCCTGGTGGGATGTGCGTGAGGCAACCCGGTCAGCAGGCCCCCACGGTGGCCGATTTTAAGTAATTCAGTCTGGTGCTCGCTCGGAGGGACTGCCTGTGGCCGTCAGTGTCAGACACTTCGGTGCCCACGTCACTCGTTTGCCCACTTCGCCAGTGTGGATGGCGTCGGGGGGTGACGTGCGCAGAAAGAAGCAGACTGAAGGGCTCATCGGAGAACGAGGCCTTCCTCACTGGCCACTGTGAGAGACCCAGCTGGACCACCCCGACGTTTTCATCACCTAGGACCTCAGCCAAGTGTCCTAACTCTGCCGTCTTCCCAGAGTCAGAGTCCCGTTCCGGGTCAGTACGGTGTGCGCTAAGGCGGAAGCAGCCCACCGTGGGCCCCGTGGGGCGCGAGCTACAGTCAAGCTCAGGCAGTTGGGGATCAGCGCTCCCCGGATTACCAGGGGCCTTTCTTAGCAGCAGCAAAGCCCAGACACCGCACGGTCAGAAAGTTGTGTTCCGCGTTGTGTTCCAAGCCCCTGCTGTCCCGTGTCTGCATCCACACGAGCCGCAGCTGGGTGGTCGTCAGTCCGACGGTCAGCAGACACGGGGTTTCGGAATTGCTCTTGGATGAGCTGAAGACTTGCTCTTGGAGTTCCCAGAGTGTATCTCCAGGTGGGGATTGCTTGTCTCTTCATTGTTTCCCTCCTGTTTTGAACCTCTAGGAGGTAAAAACTCAGTTATCAATCAATCAATCAATCAATCAATCAGTAAGTCATTTGCTGCAGTGACCTCAGCTTATTTCTAAGGCTTCGAGTTTAAATACCACCCCCTGTACCGGTGGCACCAAGCAAGCAGGCCGGGTCCTGTCAGTACCTTTTCTCTCTACCCACGGGGATGGTCCCTCTGGCGTTTATGAAATCACACACGCACACCTGTGTCAGCTTTTATCTACACGCAAGTGGGATAGCCTGGGAGGTCATGCTGTCTGGACAGTAGATGAGGAGAGTCATGGAGGAAGCACTGTAGCTCACAGAGCATGGTTTAGCTGACTCAGGAACCTCCTGTTGGTCCCCGGGCCAGTGATAGGGGTTTCCTTGTTATTTCCTACTTTCCTATTTCATACTCCGTTGAATAGGTAGATTTTGGCATCAGAACATTGAATGACAGTATTGGCTGCTCATGGATGTCCAGGGGTTGAGGAATTAAACAAAAAAACCAACCGGTGTTTAAAGAAAGAATGCAGCTCAGTGGTTCCTGTGTTCTTAGGGGGGCAGTGGGGAGGGCTGACATGCTCATGTGCCCAAAAGGGGAGGGACACGGAAAGAAGCTGAGAGTATGGCCTGAAGGATGATGTATGGGGGGTGCTGCTTCTCCCTGGAACTTGATATGAGGGAGGGGTTCCTTTGTGGGAAGGCACTGCCTAATCCTTTATGTATTTTATAATCTTGGGCAAACTCACTGTCAGATATTTTTGACTTCAGTTAACTCTTTTGCAGGGTGGAAATTTTAACCTTATCCTCAAGGTCAGCAAGAATACTCTTACGTGGTTCTGATGGAAAGAGCTGTTTTGTCATCGTATTACATTTGCCGTGTGTGTGTGTGTGTGTGTGTGTGTGTGTAGGGCAGGTGCACGGAGACTTGGAAGCGTAGGGAATGCATGCATCGGAGTTCTCACGTCTGTGTCCTCTTTCCTGAGCTCTGATCTCTCATTAACTTTCCATCCCATTCCTGTATTACACAAATACATTAACAAGACTTCTTCCAAAGGAATTTTATCGTTGAGTTAGCAGAAACGGTCTGCGTATGGCCTGGAGTTCTGTAAGATGATGTAGTTATCTGGTCTCTGCTTAGGTGGAACCCATTAAGCCTCTTGGGTTTAGTGAGGAGAATGGAAGGAAAGGTTCCCAGTCCTTCAGTTTGTGCTTATTTCATAAAATCTCACCCAGGTTTGACCTGGGGCTTGACATGGCGCGTAGTGATGTCATATGTAATAAGGGAAGGAGTCGAAGTAGTTTGTGTCACAAGAGATCCATGGGTCTTAAAATGCCAACCTTAGTTTCATGGGCAGAGCATTTCTGTGACTTCTCAATGCGGTCTGAAACCTTTGGTTAAAGAAGGATGAGACTTGATTTCGTTGCTGTAAAAGTGTAAAGATAGGTTCCGTGGGTGGTGGAGCTATTAAATTTGTGAGGACGTGAGTGTGGACAGAGTAAGAGATCCGGTAAGTGAGTCATGGAGTAGATTTTAGGTGACCACAGCGTCTTATCTGAATTCCCTGTGAATCGAATCCTGTTGCTCAGTGAGTCTCAACTTTCCTTCTGCACATCTCTTGGGTGTTATAGGACTCAGTGGTCTTTGAGGATGTGGCCGTGGACTTCACCCTGGAGGAGTGGGCTTTGCTGGATTCTGCTCAGAGGAAGCTCTACAGAGAGGTGATGCTGGAAAACTTGAAAAACCTGGCCTCAGTGGGTAAGAATGACCTCATTCCTTCACTTAGTCACTTAGAGAACAAGCATTTTGTGCACATCAAGCCTTTTTCAGAATTTGAACTGTGGAAGGGCACCTGGGTGGCTCAGTCCTTAAGCGTCTGCCTTCGGCTCAGGTCATGATCCCAGGGTCCTGGGTTCAACCCCCGCATCACACTCCCTGCTCCTCGGGGGGGCCTGCTTCTCACTCTCCCACTCCCTCTGCTTGTGTTCCTGCTCTTGCTGTGTCTCTCTCTGTCAAATAAATAAAATCTTAAAAAAAAAAAAAAAGATTTGGACTGTGGAAAGGGAGTATAGTAGTCATAACCACCATAGAGCTAGAATCTGGTAGTTTCTGCATGAGGAGAATCTATATGGCTCCCATATGTGTCATCAGTGAATATAGATTTCATGGGTCATTAAGGAGCCCAGTGATGTTTATGTAATCATGTGAGAATTCTGTGTTTATGAGATTGCTTACCACCTTGACCCCTTGTACTTGTTATTTGTGAGGTCCTGACCCAGCTAAACCTCCTCAGTGTCATTTTGACCAACAGGTTCCTTCTTTCTTTAAACCTTGTTCCCTTTTTGCTTTCAGATGATGACACTCAGTTTAAAGCCAGTGGGTCAGTTTCTCAGCAGGATGTTTATGGGAATAAACTGTCCAAGGAACATAAAATAGCAGAGTTTACCAGAAATGATTCCTGGGCCTCTATTTTAGGGAAAATTTGGGAAGAACTTAGCACTGAAGATCAGCACACAAAGCAGGGGAGACATCTGAGGTGAGTTGCGCTCACAAGAGAAAGCAATATTCCGGGGTGGGGGGTTCTCAGTATGTCATGAAATTGAAAAAGCAAAGGAAACCCCTACAGGAGCCTAGATCAAATCTATTTACTCACAGGACTTTTAGAGAAAGATTTCCTTAATACGATGTTGATGTTGAGGGTTAAAAACATAGTTTAGTTGAAAACAGTTAGGAGGAAAAGCCACATTGAAGAAACATGGTTTTCGTAATTCCTATGGTTGAATCCTTTTCCGCGATACCTGTTTATTCTGCTTTATCAGGTAGGGTAGAAAGCCTACACATCCACTGAAATTGATGAAAATGTAATCTCAATACTTATTTGTAAATAGCAAGAAATCATTAATCAGACGGTTGGTGTTAATCTGCTTCTCGTTCTTCACAGAAATCACGTGGTAGAGAAACTCTCTGAAAGTAACAATCCATGTGGGGAAGGCTCCAGTAGGATTCCAGGTGGTAATCTGTATCAGAAGGCTGTTCCTGGAGTGAAAGAGTATGAGTGTAGTGCGTACGGAAAAGTCTCTGTACATCATTCCTCCCTCAAGAGCCACGTCGCCGTGCACACTGGGCACAAACCGTATCAGTGTCAGGAGTGCGGGCGGGCCTATAGTTGTTGGTCACACCTGCGAATGCATGCGAGGACCCACAACGGAGAGAGAACCTATGCATGTAAATTATGTGGAAAAACCTTTCCTCGTACTTCGTCCCTCAACCGGCACATAAGGATTCATACTGCCGAGAAGACTTACGAGTGTCAACAGTGTGGAAAAGCCTTCATCGACTTTTCTAGTCTTACCAGTCATGTGAGAACTCACACAGGAGAGAAACCCTATAAATGTAAGGAATGTGGGAAAGCTTTCAGTTACTCCTCAACTTTTCGAAGGCACATGATAACACACACGGGAGAGAAGCCCTATAAGTGTAAGGAATGTGGGGAAGCCTTTAGCTATTCCTCAACGTTTCGAAGACACATGATCTCACACACGGGGGAGACACCCCACAAATGTAAGGAATGTGGAGAAGCCTTCAGTTACTCCTCTGCATTTCGAAGGCACATGATAACGCACACGGGAGAGAAGCCCTATGAATGTAAACAGTGTGGGAAAACATTTATTTACCTGCAGTCCTTCCGGAGACACGAAAGGATTCACACCGGAGAGAAACCCTACGCATGCAGGCAATGTGGGAAAACCTTCATTTATCCCCAGTCCTTCCGAAGACATGAGAGGACTCACGGTGGAGAGAAACCCTACGAATGTAGCCAGTGTGGGAAAGCATTCAGCCATCCCTCGTCCTTCCGAGGACACATGAGAGTGCACACCGGAGAGAAACCTTACGAATGCAATCAGTGTGGGAAAACTTTCAACTGGCCCATATCCTTACGAAGACATATGAGGACACACATGAGGGAGAAACCCTATGAATGCAGACAGTGTGGGAAAGCCTTCAACTTGTCAGCTTGCTTTCGGGAACACGTGAGAATGCATCCTGGGGACAAATCGTATCAGTGCAAGCTTTGTGGGAAAGCGTTCTATTGCCACCTGTCCTTACAAAAACATATGAGGAGGCACACTGCAGAGAAACTCTACGAATGCAAGCAGTGTGGCAAAGCTTTCAGCTGGCCTGAACTCTTGCAGCAGCACGTGAGGACACACACTGCTGAGAAACCCTACGAGTGTAAGGAGTGTGGGAAAGTCTTCAAATGGCCCTCGTCTCTGCCAATACATATGCGAGTCCACACTGGAGAGAAGCCTTACGAGTGCAAGGCATGTGGGAAAGCCTTCACTTGTTCCTCGTCCTTAAGAAGACACATGAGGATACACACCACCGAGAGACACTACTTCGGGGATGCGGGAAACTCTCCCGCCGATGAATTCATGCCTCATGCGTCAGGAAATCCACACCAGGAGCGAAATCTTACCCAGCCTGTAAATGTGGTACCGCCTTTGTGATGACCTCATCAGAGTGGACCTGCGGGCCGTGTATCTCCAGTTCTTTTACAGATGAACAGTTAGGGGAGAACTAGCTCTGTGAGCTGTCATTCAGAATTTTGCAGGTGGTGTTTCTTTCCTACATTTCCATAAATAAACCTTCTATCTTTATGGCTTGTTGGACTCATGGGGATTTGAAGTGTGTTTTTATTATGTAAGTAGTTTTAATTTCTTTGTTCTTTGAATTCTTGAAGGGGTTTTTCTTATTTGTTGGGAGTTTCTCACTGAGTTAATGTGGCAGATACTGGATATCACCTCTTATACAGTTTCTGCCTTACTGAGAATCTATGTATTTTGGCCAGAGGAAACTTACTGCATTTTTTTTTTTTTTTTTACAAACAATTTGCAGAAATTTTTTATTATGCAGAGTTCTTCAAAAGCATGGTCTCCTGGGAATTGTTATTTTCAACCCTTTTTCTTTGCTCTTTGTCCTTGCTTGTGACTGGAAATTGGACAGTAGGCTTTTACTGAAGAGCTACTCCGTGACCTTGAGCTATAAGATACAGAATTGGAGGTGGGTCTTCTGGGTTGTGTTGTCAATGTGGGAACGTTGGGAACCATGTTTCCCTTTTATGATTATGTGGTCAAATTTACCAGTAGCCTAACTTGGCATGGGATTTCGAAGACAGAATTGAAGAAGCCATTTCTTTGTTCAGAGCCATGTTAAAGTGTGAGAGATGCAAAAGGGCTTTGGACCTCGGCCCGTTTTCCTGATCTTGGCCCTGCCAGTCAAGGGTATCATGAAAAAAATGCTGTGTGCTTGAGTCCCATTTTCTTCAGAGTTTTGTAGGCTTCCATGAGTATATCCGTGAGCTGTGTATCAAGGATCCACTTGTGTGGTCTTGCACTCCCAATTTGGATATTCCTGCCAACTCTGATGTGTTCTCTAGACCACTCATTTCGACTCAAGTTTAGTGCTCTTTGTTGCTATGATCCCCCCTTCTCCAGATTTTCCTGTTTGTGTATAAGGTCTAATTTGTCTTGTGAACACCTTATTTTCAATACTTCTAGTGACTCTGTGGTCCTGTTTCTACCACGAAAGCTACGGCGCTGCTACAGAGCCAAACAGCGCATGAGACTTCGCTAACCTGTTGCATTTTCAAGTGTGCTCATTCAGTCCTTCGTGCGACGAAAAGCACCTTCATGTATTAGATTTTGGGAGAGCTGAATGTTGTTCATATGGGCTTAACGCTTATGTTTTTTTATGTCCTCAAACACAGTATATATTTTATCATCAAGGAAAATCATTTGTAGTTATGTCTTGCATTTTCACATCACGCATGTATTTACCTTATTACTTTCCTAAGGGCTGCAGTAACAAAGGACCACAACTGAGCGGCTTAGGGCAACAGAAATTTTGGTCTGACAACTCTGAAGGTAGAAGTCCCAAATCAGAGTATTGGCCGGACCCTGCCTCCTCTTAAGGTGCTAGGGAAGGGTCTGTTCCAGCCCTCTCCTAACTTCTGGTAATTCATTGGCTTGTGGCAACGTAACTCATCTTCCCATTGCTTTCTGCATGCATGCGTGTTTATCTCTTCCCGTGGCATTCTTTTTATAAGGGCCACACACAGCCAAGTTAGGGCTCACCCGATTCCGATATCTCTGCCTCTACTTATATCTGTGATAGCACTCTTTCTAAATAAGGTCACATTCTAAGGTACTGGGGTTAGGACTTCAACTACAGATTTTGGTGGACAGTTCAACCCATAACACTACCAAATGTTACTCTCTTTGTCGTGTGCTGCGAGAATAGATTAAGATATTACACTGCAATTATGGATTCCAAATCAACTGTGATTTTATTAAGCATTCTATGTTCCAAGTCCGTATTTCCAAGTGCATAGAACTTAAGGTATTTTGTCACGTAAATTTTATTTTTATTGTTACATAAACATCTGTTATTAAACTGATTTCTTATTTGTTGTTAATAAAACCTTAAATAATTGTTTTGTCAAAGCTTTCTAACCCAGACTGCTGGGAACACGCTTGTAGTCAATGAAAATTGGGTGCCTTGAATTCAAGCAGTTTGAGTGAACACATGAAGGGCAGTAGGATATATCAGCCCCAGGCTGTTTAGAAGGATATACTTGCAGATTTGGGCTTCTGTTTGGTGATTGTAGAAAGCAGAAATAATTGGATTTAGCTAATTTAAATTGGTAAAGCAGCAGTCAGTCATTATTGAGAAGATGGGATTTTTAAAAAGATTTTATTTATTCAAGACAGAGTACAAGATGGGGTAAGGGGAGAGGGACAAGCAGATTCTACCCTGACCACAGAGTCTGCTGCAGGGCTTGATCCCAAGACCCCCGAGTTCATGACCTGAGCCAAAACGAAGAGTTGGACATTCAACTGAGTGACCCACACAGGCGCTCTGAGAAGAGGGGAATTAAAAAAAAATTTTTTTTAATTTAAATTTGATTTGGTTAACATATAGTGTATTTTTAGTTTCAGGGGTAGGATTTAGTGATTTGTTAGTTGAATATAACACTAGTACTCATTACATCAAGTGCCCTCCCTAATCCCGTCACCCAATACCCCATCCCCCCTGAAGAGGGGAATTACTAGAAAAGGTTTTAATTCCAATAGTTTACATACAGTGTTATGTTTCAGGTGTACAGTGTAGTGATTCAGCACTTCCATACATCACCCTGTGCTCATCTCAAATGCACTTCTTTATCCCCATCACCTATTTAACTCATCCCCCATCCCCTCCCCACTGGCAACCAGCAGTTTTCCATAATTAAGTGTGTTTCTTGATTTCTCCTTTTTTTCTGCTTTTGTTTCCTAAATTCCACCTATGAGTGAAACCATATGGCATTTGTCTTTCTCTTATTTAACTTGGCATAATACTCTCTAGCTCCATCCTTGTTGCAAATGGCAAGATTTCATTCTTTTTTATGGCTGAATAACACATTGTTATGTCTACACGTATATACATATGTAAATGTATATGTATGTGTGTGTATACACACACACACACCCCATATCTTCTTTTTCCATTCATCAATCAGTAGACACTAAGCCTGCTTCCATATCTTGGCTATTGTCAATAATGCTGCTATAAATGTAGGGGTGCATGTATCCTTTTGAATTAGTGTTTTTGTATTCTTTGGGTAAATATCCAGTAATGTGATTGCTGGTCCGTAAAGTAATTCTGTTTTTAACTTTTTTTAAAAAAAGATTTTATTTATTTATTTGACAGCAAGAGATCACAAGTAGGCAGAGAGGCAGACAGAGAGAGAGAGGGGGAAGCAGGCTCCCCACTGAGCAGGATCAAGCGGGGCTTGATCCCAGGACCCTGAGATCATGACCGGAGCCGAAGGCAGAGGCTTAACCCACTGAGACACCCATGCACCCCTGTTTTTAACTTTTTGAGGAATTTCCACACTGTTTTCCACAGTGGCTGCATCAGTTTGCATTCCCACCAACAGTGCTGGAATGTTCCATTTCTTTACATTCTCACCAATACTTGTTTCTTGTGTTGTTGATTTTAGCTATTCTGACAGGTGTGAGGTGATAACTCATTGTAGTTTTGGTTTGCATTTCCCTGATGATAAGTGATGAGCATCTTTTCATGTCAGTTGGTCATCTTTATGTCTTCTTTGGAGAAATGTCTGTTCATGTGTTCTGCCCATTTTTAAGTTGGATTATTTGTTTTTTGACTATTGAGTTTTGTATGTTCTTTATGTATTTTAGATACTAATCCTTTATCGGATATGTTATTTACAGATATCTTCTGTCATTCCATAGGTTGCCTTTTAGCTTTGTTGATTGTTTTCTTTGCTGTGCAGAAGGTTTTAATTTTGATATACCCCCAACAATTTATTTTTGCTTTTGTTTTCCTTGTCTCTGGAGACATATCTAGAAAAATGTTGCTAGGGCCAATGTCAAAGAGGGTACTGCCTGTGTTCTTCTAGGGTTTTTAATCCATTTTGAATTTATGTTTGTATATGGTGTAAGAAAGTGGTCCAGTTTCTTTCTTTTGCATGGGCTGTCCAGTTTTCCCAACACCATTTGTTGAAGAGACCATCTTTTTCTCATTGGATATTCTTTCCTGCTTTGTTGAAGACTAGTTGGCCATATAGCTCTGAATCCATTTCTGGGCTTTCTATTTTGTTGATCTATGTGTTTATTTTTATGCCAGTACCATACTGTTTTGATTTCGTAGCTTTGTAATATGACTTGCAGTCGAATCCTGATACCTCCAGCTTTGCTTCTCTTTTTCAAGATTGTTCTGGCTATTCAGGGTCTTTTGCAATTCCACACAAATTGTTTGTTCCACACAAACAATTGTTTGTTCTAGTTCTGTGTAAAATGCTGGTGGCATTTTGATAAGGATTGCATTAAATGTGTGCATTACTTTTGGGTAGCAGACATTTCACAATTATTCCAGTCCATGAGCATGGAGTGTCTTTCCATTTCTTTGTCATCGGTGTTTTAGAGTTTTCAGATACAGGCCTTTCACCTCTTTGATTAGATTTATTCCTAAGTGTCTTGCTATATTTGGTGCCATTGTAAATGCGATTATTTTCTTAACTTCTCTTTCTGCTTTTTCATTAATGCTGTGTAGAAATGCAACCGATTTCTGTACATCAATTTTGGGCCCTGCAACTTTACTGAACTTAGCAGTTCTAGCAGTTTTTTGGTGGAGTCTTTGGGGTTTCTATATAATATCATGTCATCTGCAAATAGTGAAAGTCTTACTTTGGGAAGAGGGGAATGTTTAATCATTTCTGTGGTTTGGAGGTGAGCTTCACAATCTGAGTGACATATAATAGGAAGATACATTTGACATCTTCAGATGGGAAAAATACTAACGTTTAAAGGAGGAGAGGGTGGAAGCTTTTGTTTTAATGATCCATGCTCCAGCAGCTCCGTTTGCTTTTCCAGATATCATTTCCATCTGTGCAGACTTCTAGCATTTGCCAGGGAAGAGGAAGAAATGTAATACCTTATTTTAATAAAGAGTGGACAATCTCTAATCATCATTTCTTCCATGCTCTTGTATTTTCATAGCACCCCACTTCTAAACA